CTGCCTTGTCAACATGGAGGGAAATGTGTAGTGCCAAATATGTGCAGATATCGTTTGCTATACTCTGGTCTACAGTGTACAAAGACAAGAAACAAATGAGCCATCTTCCTCTGGAGATGAGTAGTGTTGCTTTAATGAGTATGGATGAGAGGGAGGAGATTTTTAAAAAAAAACCAAACCCTAATTGGTCTTAAATAGCATTTTGTTCCCAGTATTTTAAGGAAAAGCTCTTCTGTATGAAAGTATTTTTAAAATACTCCAGACAAAGCAAATGAATATGTATCCAAGTACTTTTGTGTGCTTTATAAGTAGAATAATTTTGTCAGTGGGTACAATTGATGTTGAAGTCAATATTTCCTTTTGAATAAAGCATTTACTTGCCTTTTTTTCTTATTTATTTCTCTTTGATTACCATAAATAGAAGTATTGTCGCTCATGAATAAGCTTCCTACATTAATAGCTGATAATAATAAACATTTGTGTTTTTAAAACCTTTTGTTCATCTTTATGTTCAAAAGTACATTGTAGCTGGAATGATGCTTACCTTTAATGAGATCATCCTGCCACAAGGGGGCACTCTTTTCTATGGTAGGAATAATTTATAGAAGACGGAGGGCTCCGCTATAGCAGTGGTCTTCTGTCAACAGAATGGATATCACAGTAGGAAATAGTGGAAGGAGGTTGCACTTCTTTAGGGACAGCAGCAATCTGTAAAGCATGTTGTTGATGTGTTGCTCATTCACTGAGCATTGCTTTGTGTGATTAGCAATAAAAATAAAATAATTAGGATCATGATCAGTCATAGTTTAATGTCTATTTTTATAGGGTCGGGATCTACAATCACCTTCCTAAAGTTTAGTTTTGATAATATGCGAAGCCTCAGTCTAGCCATCTTACATGCTTACATAGCCTCCATTACCATAACACCTGAACTCTTCACAGTCCTTAGTATATTTATTCTCACAACACCCCTATGAAGTAGGGAAGTGCTGTTATCCCCATTTTGGCACACAGGAAGTCAGTGACAGAGTAGGAAACTGAATCCAAGTCTCCCAAGTCCCAGTCTAGCACCCTATCCACTGGACAATCCTTCCTCTCTGAAGAATGCTCCCCTGTTATAGCATTAAGGGTGGAGGTGTCAGCGAAGCCATTGAAGAGAGAAGCTACTGAGGCTACAGCACGAGGACAGAGAGCAGCACCAGCATTCCACTAAAACAAGTCAACGCTAGTCAAAATTTTGGCCAAAATGTTTCACATTTTTTAAAGAACTATTTTCACCATTTTCCAAGCAGCTCTTCCAGAGAGCATGAGTAGGGAAGAGGTGTCCAACGAGAGACATTGGCTCTATGTAGGATGAATTCAAATGAGACTTTGGGTTTGGTCCTATCAACCTCTGGAAGTGCTTATATGTAATCCTGAGCCACCTAGAGCATGCTTCGACTTTGACAGATATAGGGTGGCTGGAGTGGAGGAAGCATTTCTCATGCTTTCAGTTGCCACCAAGCTTTGTCCAGAGGCAGACAAAAAGCAGGGGAGCTCTCTCATTTGCTGTCTGCCCCCAGGGATTGGGCTGAGCACACTTTCAGAGCTCTCACATTCTGAGAAAAGGGGCAAATGAAGGACGTTGATATAATATATGTGGGACATTTAGTGTGTCTGTTACAATTTGCCTTCTGAAGACTGTATCTTGGAGTGGCGAGAGTTCCCCATCTCTGCCACGAGGGCCTCTCTCTTGTGATCAACTGCAGCAGCCTTCTACTGAGGAGAGATGCACATCATGTGCTGTCTCTTGGGGACTTTACTCATGGTGTTTCTTGGGCTGCAGGGAGGAAGAGAGAGAGAAAGGGACAGAGCGTGACTGCAAAAAGGGGTGCTGGCCTTGCAGAGCTAATCCCCTGAACAACCAGGAGGAGACGCTCCTAGCAGTGAGCATAGGTACCAACTTTCCCCAGCGCTGGGTGGGTGCTCGTGTTTCCCCGCCCCCAGCCTCGCCCCAACTCCACCCTTTCCCCTGCTCCTGCCCTGCCCCCATTCCAACCCCTTCTCCAAAGTCCCCGCCCCAACTCCGCCCCCTCCCTGCCCCTATTGGACCCCTTCCCCAAATCTCGGCCCTGGCCCCGCCTCTTCCCCAAGTGCGCCATATTCCCCCTCCTCCCCCTCCCTCCCAGCCATGCAAAACAGCTGTTTTGCGGCGCAAGTGCTGGGAGCTAAGGGGAAAAAGTGCACTCAGGGGAGGAGGTGGAGGCGGAGTGGAGCCGGAGGTGAGCTGGGCGGGAGGACAGGGAGCTGCCAGTGGGTGCTGAGGCCCCACCAATTTTTCCCCGTGGGTACTCCAGCCCCGGAGCACTCACAGAGTCGGTGTCTATAGCAGTGAGTAGACAGCCACATATGTGACTCACTAGTTTGAAATGATTAAAAGTTAGGCAAACAGTAATGCGGATGCAAAAGGACTTCACTTCTAATATTGTCAGACCCCAAAAGTATACAGGCAGAGAAAATTCACATAACCAAATTCACAAAGAACTTAGAAAAGCAGCAAGCAATCAATGGACAAGGCACAGCTGTGACTACTAAGTTTTCAAGAAAGAAATCTAAGGAATTTATCTATATTTATATTTATGTAGATGGAAGGAATTATATTTTAAGTATTTGCCACTGGAATAAGGTTTATTTAAAGTAAGAAATAAAATATGCTGAACTACAATAAAACATTAGAATATTTTTGGAGTTGTCGTTCAAACTGATGGAAGCCTTCCAGACCTACAATACTGAATACGAAACATAATTAGAATATCCTTCAGCTGTTTCAGGGCCACGTCTAAAAGAACTATGACTTAGGCCCTTTAACATCATGGAACATTTTAGCAAATGATGTGTGATGGGTTTATTTTTAGCTTGACAGCAAAGTTTTTTGCTAAAACATAAGTGATTATTTTTTAAAATATAGCTGGGATGTAGCACCATCTACTGACTAAAGTGACTTCTACTCTTTCTGGGATTTTGAATTAAATGAATTATTATTTAATAGTTATATTAGAGTAACAACCAGGGTCCAGCCAAACTTATAGTAAAAGATAGGATGATCCCCAAAATGTTTCTGATTATTACACTATGCTACTCAGAGACGACAGTGCCCAATTTTTGTTGTTCATTGGAAAATTTAATACATCTACCATTTCCAGTGTATAGATTTCTGGAGATGGATCTATCTTCATGTTCCCAACTGTGGAAAGACACTTATGTACATGGTCCAACACTTTTATCATTTTCGGCAACAAAAATTCTGTGGGGCAGGTTGGCAGCATCACCTACATATATTATGGTCTGCTACACCTGTTTTATATAGATGCTCCATGTCCAGTACAATTTGTTGTTTAAGAGCTTGTTCTGGAAAAATTGTAGAGATATTGAGCAGGCTGTATTTTTTATTTTTTGCCATACTTTTTGCTATTTTTTCTGCCAATTAGATACTTCACTTCCTACTTATTTTCCCCCTCCAGTGTCAGTGGGTACAACAAAGAATTAAGCCACTTGTTTTGTATTACCTGTAAAGTTTCCTTTAACATGAAACTTCTTAATAGAATTTTTTTCCATGTACTGCCTAACTACTGGTATGTATTTGATTGCAGTAACTGAAAGAATGTGCCAGATGATACTAATTACGTAAGAAATAGAAAGAATCTAATTGGCCAGAAATAAAATCTTCTGTCCAATATATTTGATATTGTGTCCACCCACATTAATAATTTTTACTGTGAACTGAAACTGGATTTTCTCAAACGGGGCTGAATAATGAACTTGAAAAAGCCAAGCTGGTGAGTATCTTAAGTTGTCATGATATACTCCTGGTTGCAGTGATTGCAGACTCTTGAGAAAAAAAGAATCCTTTAATGTGCCAAATGGAGCTGTTAAATCACTTTCTATGTTGAGCTATGGTTGTATGTATCACCTCTGTGAAGCAGGTCATTTTACAAGTGGCACATGTGAAAAGCTAGGTAATAGACGTACAAATCTAGGAGACCTATTGCTTTCCTTCATGAGCTCCTTAGAGTTTTGTGTGAAAAGGGTGACTTTTTTCCTCCAGAAAATATTCAAAATATTCTTTCCAAGATAGCAGAAGTTTTCATAGCTAATTTGCCTGTTAAATACAAGAGTTCTGGTTCTGTACTCATCTCTGTAGTTTCAATCTGACTAAATAGGGAACTGGAATCTGCTGTCAGAGTCCAATATCTTGCGGTTCAAAGTGTTTTCAGTACATAAGAAAACCATGTTAAGTAAGTTAGCAGAGACAGTAGGATTAATTAATTCTAGGCCCCTTTTTCTGTACTCCTGTCCTTTCTGAAGCTCTCAATTTTTTGATCCAAAGTCCTTTGAAATAAATGGAAAGCCACCCACTGAAGTTAGTGGGTTGTGGGGGCTAAGGGCCATAGTGAGCTATTTTACAGGAAAGACTACAATCTTCAGCAAGCGCAGCCACTGACAGTCACTGGAAGATCTATAGTTGTGCCAAATTCTCCTTCACTCCAAGACAGATCATGTTTGTAGGAGGCTCTGCAGCACACTAAAATAAAGATCTGTATGTCCTTATTTCAGATTATATTATGGAACCTTTGGACCACTCCTTCAACCCCTCTGACATAAACCCTTTGTGCTAGTTCTTTATATTCACTTGCTTCCTCATTAACACCTTATTAAACTGCATGTCTGTATCATCAGATCATTGCACTGTAGCTTTTAATTCAATTTCTCGTGTATCCTTCACAAGTATAAAACTACCCAGCCTGCTGCATTGAGATTTCATATCAAAGCAATCTATTCACTCAGTGCATGAATAATTTCTCCAATTTCTATTAATATTAAAGGGAGTCATGACTTAAATAATATCAATGGGAAAATATACTTTTCTGAAATAGTATTTTTTAAATTTTTAAATCAAGGCAACCTGTGAAAATAAATTTACAGCCTTATAACAAAGTAGGAATACATGTACACAAAGACACTTACAATAAACAAATGTTATTTAATGTACATGATTTACAATCTGGTAGAAAACAACAACCCATCCCACCATTACAATGCAATTTTGAAAAGTCTTACTTTATGTACACACTAATGATTTTTTCCTTTGTAAGACGCATAGCAATCCACAGGTATTATGTGGGAAGGAGGCTGAGCTCTGAGAATGCCAGCTTATTTTACAAAAGAGACTGAACAGGGCTATGTAGGAGAACAAGAATCTACACCGAGAGCTGCTGAACAGCTATAGGGTACGTGACCACTCTAACCTGGGAGTCGACATCCTGTGACAGCAGCCCACAAAATGGCAAAATCCTACCAGTTCCAAACTGGACACTGGGAAAGAGCAGACCATTCAAATTGGGCATCCCTCAGCAGAATCTGAGGTCATGAAACTTGTAAACATATAATTAAACACTGAAAACTGCATTGCCTCTCCTAGCTAAGGTGAGATATGCATCATTCAGCAGAAAGCAACAGAGGGTCCTGTGGCACCTTTAAGACTAACAGAAGTATTGGAGCATTTAGTCTTAAAGGTGCCATAGGACCTCTGTTGCTTTTTACAGATTCAGACTAACACGGCTACCCCTCTGATACTCATCATTCAGCAGTACTCTGCTGGCTGCCCAAGGGACTAAAATGGCTTTTCACTCTTTGCTGGTGGGAACACAATGTCTAGAACAGCACATGCAGGTTAGAATCTAACCCTGAAAACTCTCTGACTGTGGTGGCGGCAGCTGCTCACAATTGCCTGGAATTCTAGGTAGCGGTAGTGGCCTCCAGTATTATTCCTACTTACCATTTGTAATCTACTGCTCTCAATGGATACCAGTGCTTTCTATTATTTAAACAGAGCATGAGGCGTGCACAATGTGCTTTGCCTCACCACCCCATACTCTGATCCACTCACTACACTCTTCACCATTTCCACCCTTTCAAGGCCTAGCACTGAAGACTCCCTGGAGAAAAACATTGCCACACCCGCAGGATTTACAGAGCTAGAACACTATCCCCTTGAAAGGTTTTAGGAACCATATATTCCCCACCCTCTCAAATCCCCACTATATGTGAGGTGGGAGGAGGAACTAGAGGAACAACACAGAACAGGAGTAATCCTACAACTGGCTCCTTAGTTTAGTCCCAAAGCACCAACAAACAAACAAACTGAAGATAGCAATCTAAAACTCTGGCTGATGAATGCAGAGTTCAGCCATCCATTAAACCAGCACCATTCTGGATTTGATTTTTGATTAGACACATTCCCTTGCCTGCATAATTGACATCTGGTTTATTTTAGCCCAGCTACTCCCTACAGGCTACACAGTACAACACAAACCAAGGTAGATCACAGACGAGCCAAATGGAAGAAAATAGTCCAGGTTCCCTCAACCCTCCGATGCAGATGACACTCCACTCCAGAAACAAAATCAGAAGACCAAAAAGAATCCAGTGTTCGACAGCTCTCCAGAGGGAGAGCTTGCTGACTTCCTAGAGGGTCTAATGGTGCAGTTCCTCAGCATGATGCTGAAATCCTCCAGATTTATTGCTCTTAGAAACGTCAGTTTCCACAGACTAATGCCAAAGACACTCTAGAATCCAATCTCTTTTCCATTATCAATACAATAGATTTCACATAGACTGTCTCCAGACTCTCACTCTCTGCTAGTAACACGCTGGGAAGACTCTTCAGCCTATGAGTATGCTGATATCGAAACCACCTCATGTCCCATTATCCTGGTCTGGCCACCAGTTCATATAGGGACAGATCAGGGCCTTCACAAGGGAAAGGACTGGAAACTTTTCTTTTTGAAGGAAAACTGACAGTCATTTTTAGATCCTTCAAATTAGCAGAGGAGAGCCTGCAGTCATAGGCTATGCAGAGGCCAGCACTGGGACTGGACACTAGGTGTGGAACAAATGAATAAAGTCAGAAATAACTTGATGTGGATTATAGCCATGTACGCGAGATAGATACATAAATGTTTCCACACGGAGAGCCATCAATTCTTAAATTAAACTCTGTAAAAATGTTTATTTGTGATTTTTTTTTAAGATGATCATGGCTCTTTAGTTACAGTCCTTGTTTCCTAAAAGGGCTGATAGATAACTTATATCTATAAATTATAGATAACCTGAGGAAAATTGCTGAGTTGAGAAGATTCTTTTACTTTAATATATAGTATTTTCACTTATCATTAACTTTTAAAAACATTTCTCTGAAAAGCCCATTGTTTATGTTTATGGCAATTACATTCTCTCATAGATATTTTGAAATGATGACCATGCACAGAGGCATAGGTGCAGTCAGATGTAAGCACTGAACTGTTTCAACCTCCCCTAACATAACAGTTTCACATTAAATATAATTAGAAATGGATGTTGAGTTCATCAATATTCTCGAGACACTATTGCATGTGTGAATAATGCAATAGGAACCTAAACCCTTTTTCACCTGTTCATTACAGGCAGGGGATTCTTAAACCAACAGAACTTGCTCTTTAAAATCAGTATGTGAAAACAAAATGCTATATTTCAGGACCTGATCCTGTCAGGTGATGCCTTCCTGCTGCTAGGAGATGTTTAGATTAGGTCCCAAGGAAGGACATTCACTACAAATCACTGCTCCAATGACTACTTCTCCAGATATTAGCTGACCAGGGATCTGGTGTTTGTATCATCTACAATATCTAAAAGTCCAATAGAGAGTGAGAGGCTGTGGTTTCTGAGTGTGAGGTAGCAATAAAATGAGGCTTTACAACAGATTATTACATTTCTGCTCTTAGTATGTTATTGTTCTACCACTGTTTAAAAATTAATGTCCTTGGCTTTAAAATCATAATGAATACTTTAAAGGCATGCTTCAGGATATCACTCCCTTTGTTTAAATAAACTTCATTCCTTATTGCCTTCAAAGCCTCTTTCTAGTTTCATGTGCCTCTTAGTCCATACAGCATGGTTTTGTAATCCATGTACTTGATTTTCTTCAACCATGATGTCTCTGTACCTTGGGAAAAATAAAAGATTTTAGTGTACTCAGAAATTGGTGGCTACTCAGAACACTCTGTGCTTTCATCATAAACTTTAACAAGCAGTTTCCAATGAATATTTGCCTTCCCAAGCCACTCAGAAATGGAATATTGAATACTGATCCATAAAGCTTGTTTAGTTTTTTGAAAAATAAGCTACCTTCCCAAAAATAGAGAGAAGGATACTTGGAAGCAAATAATCTTTGCAATGGTATATACTGTATTGTTGGTATTGAATAGAAAACCTTTATTACTCAGACCAAATAATCTATTTACACAATCTATACAAAATTTAATAATAGATGAAACCTTTCAAGATGTCCATAAAGTGGATCTTTGTATCAAATTTGTTTATGGGCACTGACTTTTTTATAATCAGGTACTGATATATTAATTAAGCTCCCTTCAAAAATTTGCATTACAGGCATTAAAATCCAACAAAATAACTATACTTCACACAAATAGAGCTTTACATTTTCAAAAAGTTGTATGAATTCTCACATCAACTGATAAATGCTTTGGCCCATCCCTAGTAATTAGCTAACAACTCCCACCCCAAATTAGATTCTTTGGTGAAAAGGGAACCTGGATTTGAATTACCAATCTTTTTAGTTTTGAAAAACAAAATGTGGCTTTCAAACAAGTTACAAAACAAGTTTTTGTGAAACCAAAACCACAGCAGTTTTTCCATTTCTTTTGCTCCCTGTTCCTTTATTATATTGTGTACTCATAATGTAATTACCTGTAGTTTCTTTGCACAGATGACTCCAGTATAACCAGGACGACAAGAGCACACATTAGGCAGCACACACCTACCACCAAAGAGACATTTCTGACTGCACACAGCTGAAATACGCAAAGGTATATGGCTTTAATCTCAAAAACAAGTAACTGCTTTGTAAAGAAAATGGCCACAATACTGGGTTATGCCATGACCTCTGTGTATGCACTCTGCTGACAGACAGGGGCCATAAGCCCAATAGATCTCTTCACTGAGGAATACACCCAGTGTAAGGGGGATTCCATGGTGCTATAGGGCCAGCAGAATGGCCCAATGCGACCTCCCTTCACAGCCCTCATGGTAGATACATACTTGGGGCATAACTGAGAGAGGGAAGGGGGCATGGCTGGGGCTTGGCCAGAGCACACTGTGATCTGACTGTTCAGAGCTATTGCTATGGCCCCTAAGGGTTGTTGCAGCAGTGTGTGGAGCAGATCACCAAGGACTGCAATGCTCCCCGGCCACCTCCAGCTACTGTTGGGCTGCAAAATGGTACACAGCCACCTCTAGGCTTCATCCCACTTCTGCGTCAACACTGGGGCGAAAATGCAAAATCAAATGAAGACAGAGTCAAGGGTCTGATGTATGTCTGTACACTTAACAGTCTTTAACTTTGTTGAAGCAACATCAATGTCTTTTTTTTTAAGAGTTAAAAATCATATCAGACTTACGTGTTTGACACTGAACCCCTTCCCACTGTGGAAGGCAATGACACATGCTTGGTCCGATACATTCTCCGCCATTCTTACATTTCTGAAGACAAATAGCTTCATCCCCCCCCCCCAAAAAAATATGTTAAATTATTGCACTCCAATACTGCCCATAATGTGTGGAGTGCTGACCTCCCCGCCCCACATCCCGGAAGACGCCAGCTCATCCCTGAGAAGCTCACAATCTAAGGTTATGTCTACACTATGAGCTAAAGGTGTCATTCCCCTGCTTGTGTACACATCCTCATGCTAGTTTTTATTGAGCTTGTGCGAGTATAAATAGCAGTGAAGCCTCAGTAGCACTGGTAGTGGCAGTGGAGACATGACTGAGCAGTGCTGAGTACAAACTAGCATGAAATTGGTGGGTATGTACTTGGCATAGGTCAGCCATATCTCCGCTGCTGCTAAAACTACTACTGAGGCTAGACTGATACTTGCACTCGTGTTAGCTCAATGAGAACTAGTGCGAGGTGTGTACACAAACAGGGG